AAAGAAAGAAAGAAATGGCAGAATTAGGCAATCACTAGATAAAAGGTTGCTGAAGAAGTATAATAGTATGGTGTCAAAGTAACACCACTTTACAGGTTACCTACTAATTACAAATGAGAAAAATGTCTTTACAACAGAGAGACCTAAACAAATGATCAAACTCAGCATAATTAATTGTGAGATATAATGACATTATGTTTTTCATACTATGATGCAATGAGGAGAAGAGCAATACCTACGAAGTATTCTTACCAAAAAATGTTTAACTCAAATCTAATCAAGCCTTGAGACCTCAATACCAGTTTTTTTATAGGCAATAAAGGGATAAAGGAACAAATTAAGTGAAACTGAGGAAATAACCAGAAAATTCCAGAAGTGATATACAGTCTACAAGACAAATGGCCTGGTCTCTTCAAAATAGCAGTATCATATAGCTTCTAAACTGTTCTAGATTTAAAAAGAGACTAAAGAGAAATGTTTGGAGAACAAAATACAGCTAAACAAGTGTCATCTTGAAGACAATTGGGAAAATCTGAACATGAACTGGATATTAGTGTTAGAGAATTACTGTTAATTGCCTTAAATGTGGCAAGTATTGCAAGTGCGATTAAGTAAAACTATTTTAAGGTGATGTATCTAAAGTATTTAAGAGGGAAGTATTATGTCTGCAATACAAAATTTATATATTATATAAACACATATGCACATAAAGGAAATATAGTAAAATGTGAACAACTATTGAATGTAAGTGATGGATACGAAGGTGATAATTGTACCATTCTTTCAATTTTTCTGTATGTTTAAAATTTTTCCCTTAAACGTTTATAAAAGGAAAAAAAAAGGCTCAAAATACACTTCTTCAAGGCAAGCCTCCTAAATGAACTCTCCTCTAATCCCTAATCACTCATTTACAAGGTCTTCTCAACGTGGAACACAGCTTATTATTATTCACATTGTTTCCTAACTGTTCTCTTATTATTTCATATATTCAGCAGATGTGTTTTTCCAACAAGATTGTTGTGTCCTTGTCTAATTTTGGTATCATGTAAGGCTAACCTCTATATGAGTTTGGTAGTTCTCCCTGTTCTACAAGTTTCTGGAATAGTTTCAGTAGAATTGGTTTTAGTACTTCTTTAAATGTTTGGCAGAATTCAGAAGTGGAAGCTGTCGGTTCCTGGACTTTTCTTTGATGGGAGATTTTTATTTTTTTTTTTTGAGACAGAGTCTCACTTTGTTGCCCAGGCTAGAGTGAGTGCCGTGCCATCAGCCTAGCTCACGGCAACCTCAAATTCCTGGGCTCAAGCGATCCTACTGCCTCAGCCTCCCAAGTAGCTGGGACTACAGGCATGCACCACCATGCCCAGCTAATTTTTTCTATATATATTAGTTGGCCAATTAATTTCTATTTATAGTAGAGATGGGGTCTTGCTCTTGCTCAGGCTGGCTTCGAACTCCTGACCTCAAGCAATCCGCCCGCCTCAGCCTCCCAGAGTGCTGGGATTACAGGTGATGGGAGACTTTTTATTACTGCTCCAATCTTGTTAGTCATCATTACTGGTCTGTTCAGGTTTTCTATTTTGTCATGGTTCAATCTTGGCAGGTGGTATGGTCCAGGAATTTATACATTTCTTCTAAGTTTTCCAATTTTTTGTCATATAGTTGTGGTTTTCCAACAAGATCGAACAGCTCCTTCAGGCACAGACATCTTTTAATTATTTTCTATTTCTTCACAACTCATAGTGAAGTACTCTGCCATTAGCAGACTTTTAAAAAGTGCTAGTACCTATATTCTGGGCCGAGGCAGTGGACACCCAGTATGCATTTTAACTAACTGGGTTAGCTTTTCAATTCCTCAACTGAACAGCAGTTAACCTGTACAAACAATTTCAAGTCAGAGCTACCAAAAGTAGATCATAAAACATCACTTACAGGCTTACAGAATTTCACATAGATAAACTAGCATCTAAGATTTAAAGAAATTGGAATATAGGTTTTATATGTCTTCCTAGCATTATCATAGATTTGCTGTGATATTTAAGCACATGACTTTATTCCCATGACCTTATTCTTCAATGAAATAATATCTTCTAGCCCCCTCCACCTACAAAACAGTGACTGTACTTATGCACAACTCCTGGTGTAATGGAGCTTAACAAACTACACAATGAACTTTAAAAACTTAGATGAAAGATTGCACAAAAGACCAAAAATTTTGATAAAAATTTTGATGACAATTTTTGGTGAGGAAACAAGCAGACTCACACTGCTGGCAGGAATATAAATTCATATAACCTCTGTAGAAAGCATTTAGTAATAGCTAACATTAAAAATGCACATACCCACTGATCCATTTCCACTAAGAACTTAATGCAACAGACACCTATGTACACACAAAAAATTAATTATAGCACTGGAAACAGCCTGAATGTCCAATAAGAAGAGCTGGCTGAATAATCCATCTGTACAATGGAATATCTGCCATCTTTAGAAAAGGAGGAGGGACTGTACTTACCTTACAAATAATCAGCAAGATAAATTAAGTGAAAAAAAGTGCAGAATAATAGGTATAGTGTGTTACCATTTGTATAAAACAAAAACAACAAAGAATATCTAGGTGTATATGCTTGTAAAAGCATCAACTATCTCTGGAAAAATAAACAAGATTGTTGCCTTTGGAGAGAGTTACTAGAGGGAAGAAAGGAGAACAGTAGAAAAAAAGACTTTTCACTCTCTCACCGTGTGTGTACCTTCTGAATTTTGTTTCATATGTATGTACATGTGTTACCCATTTTAAAGAATTTTTTTAAACAAGGCTCTGCACCAATACAAATTATTTCATTATATCCATCTTAATCTTAAAAACATTTCATGCCTTTGTACTGTCAAAATTTTAAATGAGGCTTCAGTAAATTCAACTAGATGAAATGTTTCCAAATAAAAAGAAAGCACCCTAAAAAAGAAAAAAAAATCCAAGAAAAAAAAAAGAAAGCACCCTAGATGGCAGAAACCTACTGAGAAGAAAGATGGACATTTATTACCTCAATAGTTCCACTTCTAGATTTTACCAGAACCTCTTCTGGACACAGGCAATATTAAACATTTTCAATTATCAAACTAGTCATCATTAAGAGCTTTAAAAGGAGAAGTCACCAAAGTACCAAGTGGAAACCAACTTCCCTCACCCTAAATGTGGGGCTGTCACAACATCTACTCCTCAGTCTTCATACAAGGTAAAAAAGATGAGTCTCTAGCTCTTTCCCAGGATGCAGAATGATATATGCACCCCAAATTCTTGTGCTTCCTCTGTGTCATCTCTTGGCTCCAACTGTAACTATGGCAACAGGAAGCAGCACAAAAGAGAGCTGAACCATGTAAGGGCAAGGGTTAAATGGGGAAGTGAAAAAACTGTATACACTTTAAGGCCCTAGAACATAAGGTCCTACAGTTAAGAATGGCAGCCAAAAAAGCCTTAAGAAAAGAATACCAAAGAAAGTAGAACACAAAGAGAACAGAAAATAAAGCTCACGAATAGGTCCCATTCCCAGCTATCCAGCTAGGAGACAGTTGGCAAGGATAACTGAAAAATACACCAAAAAATGCCCGCTCTCTCACCACTCTCCACTTCCCTCCCTACAATTTAGCTATTCATTTCAATGCTATCCAGCAAACCTTTTGCTAGCAAGAGTTTATCTTTTCCTCACCGTGTTCTGATGACAGAAGTAGAAGCAGCAAAGTATCCAAAAGAGTGGCAACACAGGAGCAAATGAAAGGACCACGTACAATCTACCAACTGAAAACCCAAATGCCAAATCACTGAAATATCACCATACTTTAAAGTTTATTATTTTTAATTTCTTGTTATTTGCCAATGTGAAAAAAACATCACTCTGACCACTTAAAATTAAAACCTCCACTGAATAAGTTGTCGTCCACTAATAGTTTCAGAATGCCTTTGTTTTCATGTGATGTTCGCAGAACATCAATAATGCACAGCTAAACCGAAAGTGCTAAGGAAGATCTTTGACAAAAAAGAGGCAAATAGGTCACACAAAGTAGGAGAGCTGATAGATAAGAATCCTGATGTCTTGATTTACAATTACAACCGTAAGCTTTATTTTATACTGAGTGTGCTCTTTATCTCTACCTTATCTAGTTTTGTAGGGATAACTTAAGAATTTTACTAAAAGGAACTCTCCTTTTAGTTTCTTTTTTTATGACCCTTAGTCTTCTTTAGCAAGGCTACCAAAATCCCCTGCCAGCATAATTGAATGGGTTGGGGCAGCTACTTCTAAATTTAGGGAAGTTTATACTAAAGGTACAGCATGACGACAGCAGTAAAGGAAAGGAAAAGTAATCCTAGAACTAGAAGTTGCAGTGACAGTTTCAAACGAAGGGTCAGCGTGGGACACGCTGGCTCTGGGAGGCGTTTGTAGCCTGAGAGTCTCTAGGGCAACACTAGATGTGAATAGTGCTTTGTCCGTAAGTCCCTCACATAATTTAAATTCTCCCTTTTGGATAGGAGCAACAGGCTCATGGTGGGGAAGCACGTCTAGCCCTTCGCCTGGGAAGAAGGCAGGCGCGTGGTCAAGGGGCTCTTTATCCCGCAGGTCCCTGCAACACAGCGGTGCGCATGCGCCCCGAAGGCAGCGAGCAAGCACCCCGAGCGCGTTCACACTCGCACATGCGCAGTCACCCATCTCGCCGCAGGCGACAGCTCACTATTTGGCAAGCGGGAGGGGGCTGGGAAATGATGGGGGGGGCTGAAAGCAGGGGGCGCGTCTGTGTTTCCTGAATGCTTGAGGGAGGGAGAAGAGACGGTTGATTAGGCTCCGGCATTCACAGGCCACGTAACCCGGGTGTAGGAAATGGGATAGAAGAGTATGTGTGTGTGGTTGCGGGGGGGAGGGGGAGATAGTGGGGGGGTCAGTCACCTCTTAAGGGAGGCGCCCCCCTAGTCCGACAGGACAACCCCCTCCCTCGACTCTCCTCCCCCCACTCACCTGAGAGCGGCGGCGACGGCTGCTGGTCCCCGTCCCCCTGCGCTCGCCTCATACTGTCCGCAACATCCGGGACCTGCGGGACCGCCGATACACAAATACACACACACTCGGAGCGCGCACACTCACACACACACCAACACACACCGACCCGGGCGTCATGGCGTCAGCACGTCGGCGCAGCGAGCGCGTACCCTCCGGGCCCCACCCCGCGCGGCCTCCTCCCCTCTACTCCCCGCCCCTCCCCTCCGGGGTTCTCCTGCCCCTCCTCCCTCTTCCTCAAGACTCCGCCTCCCCTCCCCTAGTGCGCATGCGTCATGGGGGCCCGCACCAGGGCCCGAAGATTTCAGGAGGAGGGGCCTGAGTAGAAAGAGGCGGGAACTCAAAGGGGGTCGCGTGCAGGGTGTGGGAGGCCACGCCGAGGTGCGAGGACCAGATCTAGGAGTACGCATCTGGGGTCCGGGTGGGCCACGTAACAATAAAGGCATTTGATAACAGCAACTTATATATGCCATCAGTTTATGGCTTACCAATGACTTTTACGTGCATTGTCTCATTTATTTAAAACCGACTCTGTCAGTAAAATATTTTTTTGGGCTTTACGATGATAGACACGCTTTGAAGTAACTTTTAAAATTTAACATTTGGGCCAGGCGCGGTGGCTCACGCCTGTAATCCTAACACTCTAGGAGGCTGAGGCGGGAGGACTGCTTGAGCTCAGGAGTTCGAGACCAGCCTGAGCAAGAGCAAGAGCAAGACTATAAATAAAAAGAAATTAGCCAAACAACTAAAAATAGAAAAAATTAGCCAGGCACGGTAGGGGGTGCCTAGAGTCCTAGCTACCCAGGAGGCTGAAGCAGGAGGATCGCTTGAGCCCAGGAGTTTGAGGTTGCTGTGAGCTAGGCTGATGCCACGGCACTCTAGCCCCAGCAACGGAGTGAGACTCTGTCTAAAAAAATAAGACAAACAAACAAAAAATTTAACATTCGGAAACAAAAACAAGAAGGACCATCCTTTCGGGGGAAGACAGGGTACATAGGTGGCCTAACTGAAAGGAAGCTGATTCAGTGACAATTTGTTGTCTCGGACACCTGAGCTCCAGTCTACCTACCTCACATCTTAGCCATGGGCCATAAGACATTCATGAGTTGAGTTAAAAAAAAAAAAAAGTTTCAGAACATCTTGGCCCTGGAAGAAAGTCTTCTCAGTGTTACAGTAATAATGTCATTGACAGGCTATTTGTTATTGCTATAATTCTTTCCTTCCGCTGAAACTTTAAAATATTATTCTTATAGAATGATGCCAAGTAATTCAGAGTAGGCATTGTCTCTTTTTCATACTGAGATAGTATCATTACATAGACACACACACAAATGCACAGGGTGTTGGATGTAAGAGAGTAACTTGGATAACCTATAGATCATGGGTGACAAAGTGTGAGCCCTGCCTTGGGAACAGCTTCCGGGAGCCCTGCTGCCTCCCAGGCCTGTGAGACTGTCTCCAAGAGACGATGCTCACTGTCTCCTGCCACATGTGTCCTGGCGCCAGGTGGCTAGTGAGTCTGTTCAGCAGGGAAGGCTGGGAGCCTATGAGCAAAGCCACAGGGGTTTAAAAAAAAAGCCCCTGACAGTACTAGGCTGTCTTCCACTTTCAAAAACAGAAGTAGACCCTATAATCCAAAAGCATATCAGGAATTTGATTGTTTCCAGTTTGGAGAAAAAGAAAAAAAAAAAGAGTGAAAAATTTAAAAAAGAAAGACACAGACTTATAGAAAGTATCTAAGAGCTCAGAAAAAAAAAAAAAGAAAGACAAAAGCATAAAATTTCCCAGGAATGACAGACAAAATACTCCAAACTCCTAGAGTTTGCACAACCCGTTTTTCAACCAAAATAACCAAGAAACGGAGATCCTAAATTCTACAATGACGTGGTTTCTGTGCCTGCCTCCCTTCAAAACAAAAAGAGTTTTTGTCACCTATTAGGCAGATGCTTGAAACTTTCCAATTAGGTTTAGCTTATCATGGTTACCAACAAACATTCATTCCTTTAGCTGAAGCCAGCAAGACTTTTGATCCTTGTGAAAATTCAGAATGCACCAGAAATAATGTAGTATCCAATTACAAGTAACCAGTTCCTGGTGTCACTGAGGCTGTTCAGTTAGCTGGTCTCTTGACTTCAGATTTCACACAAAGGCAGGAAAGAAAGAAAATGGTTACTCCTTGGAGGAACGAAAACAGAAGTGGGAAAGGCCATGCAAAAAGAGAAAACTGGAGCCATGGACAACCTACTTTAGCTACCTCACAGTTGGATCTAATCATTACAGTTTAGCCAGACTCTGCCCTGGACCTGGGAGGGGACTCCTCAGGGCAAGTGAGTCTGTGCCAGCAGCTTGTCCAGGCTGGTCCTGAATCCCCAGCGATCTAGAAGGGTATGAGAAGTCCTGTCCCCATCTGTAACCTGGTGCAACAAGGCTCCCATTATACTGTGAGGACCATACCGCCCACCTGAGATGTGATCCTATCAGCCTCTGTACAAAGGACTTTGATTTGGTGTGGAGCTGATTAAACGATTGTAGATGTCCTTGGAAGCACTATGTGGAAGAATTTTAAACAGCTTCTCCTTTTTAATATGCACTTCCTCTTTGGTTTTAATTATTTTGTTCCTACATTTTCCCTTTCAATTTACTAAAATCTAGAAATGTAATTAGAGCAGAGGCTGGGCTCAGAGAAAGCTGCCAGGATTTCTACAGCATGATTAAATATACCAGGCATCCCTTTAGTATGGGACTGAAAAATAGAATTCTCATTATTATCTTTCCTTATCCAGGAAAGAATCGGAACCACGTACAGATACGGATTTATTGAAAATGCAGCACTAATTAAAAACTCACCCAGCCTCTTGAGGTTTGGGTAAAAAAAAAAAAAGTGCATAGTTATTTAATTATTTCCTCCACTTAATGTTTTGTTGTTGTAACCACGACAAGCAAGAAGCCCCCCTTGCTTTTCTTCCCTCAAAATTCTTCTCTCCTCCTGAGGGACTTAATGAGGCTTTTATCTATGCAACAACAATCAAGCTTACAATGGCACCAATTCAATTCACTGCTCCTTGTGATGGTAGGAAACATGCAGAACTCATTTTCTTAATCCAAAAACAAATGACAAAGTGTTCATTGGCTGTCATGAGCCAGATCTGGGCAAGGGATCTTCCCCAAAGACCCTGAGATGTTTTATTTATTTATTTTGCCAACAAGGATTTTTGGCTCCATTTCATTGTCCAGTAAGCAAAGGTCTATAAGGGGAGGTCCTGTAGGGCAGGTGGAGGCAGGCAGGACTTAATAGAAGACCAGTACAAACTCCCATTTTGACTGTAAGCACTTAGGAAGATGAAGTCTTTCTCTCATCTCTGTACAGCTCTGTTAGTTAGTCAATGACCAACTTTTTAGTTGGTGACTTGGTCTCTGGCCAAATGGCTGCCGTAGTAGAGCCCATTGTAAATGAATATACAGGAAGGATCCTTAGTCGGGGTATAGTCAGTCCTGTGCTCAAGAACACCCAGCCTAAAGGAAAAGAGACAAATGACACACACCAGGCCACAGGTATAAGGACATGCACAAGGAAAAAACACATTGACATTGATGTAGTTGTGCTGGGGCCACAATGGGGTTAAAATATTGGCAGTGGAAAAATTTTTATTGATCGATTAAATTTCATAGTGAGACAGCTGTAGCTTAATGAATGAGCTCCAGCCTTGTCTGCAGACTCAAGTTCAACCCAGTACTAACATTTACTTACTGTAATATAAACTTGAATAAACCTTTCCGAGGCTCAGTTTCTCACAGTGGAGAAAATAATGCCCACCTTATATTGTTGTGAGGATGAACTGAGGTGATATTTGAACATAGCACAGTCCCTGGTATAGAGTAGACCCTACTTATTTATGGATGTGTCACTGAACATGAATTTGGGGGTACATGTTCATATACCTGCTGTTCTTCAAGCCCCATTCTAATCTGTGTACCAAGCTCGCTTCTTGACTCTGTGCCCTTCTTTAGAATTCCTCAGGAAACACAGAATTCAGAGGAGAACACAGACATCCCAGCCAGGACATTGCCACTTGCTAGCTGTGACCCGTGGACAAGCTCTTTGACTTCAGAGCCTGTTTCCTCACCCATCAGCCAAGGTTCCTTGGTGCAGGAACTGCACTAACCCTGGCTATGTCAACCAGAACTAGAATTTACTGAAGAATTTACTGAACTAGAATTTATTGCTGGCTCCCAGAATTGACAGAAGCTAAAGAACCAGACTTGGAAATTCAGCTGGAAACCAAGAGCTGGTAGAGGAAGAACAACTACCTTTTTTAGCAGGACAGTCTACAGAGGAGGTCCAACTGCTGGGTACTGCCACAACATGCCACCACCAGACATATGCCTCTGCTGCTGCTGCTGCAAAGGATGTCACCTATCAGGCATCCATCTTTGTACCTCATGTTGCAAACCTAAGGCCAAAGGTGAAAACACCCAATTGGCCAATCCTAGGCCATATCCTGGGTCCTGACCACCACGGGAAGCAACAAGGAAAAGTCTCACTGCCATAGTGTCCACAGTGTGATGTGTGACCCTCCTTCTCAGTGGTGCTATCCACAGTAGGGAACTCATCCCAAACAGGAAGTAGATCAGATGCTGGACCTTCAGTCTCCCATCTCATCGGTGAAATGGGTCATTTGTATGCTAATAACAGCATTGGATGACATATTTGTTCAAAAGTGCTTAGCATACAAAAGGCCTTGTTTTACTTTCCTCTTTAATAAAACAAAAGGCTTGAAATGATAGACTTACCTGAGGATTTGATCAATATGCTTATAGATATTGAAGTTTTGAGTTTTTAGCCTGAAAAAAAATGGCTGGGATACATAACATCTAACGGGGGTGCTCTGAGCAAAGCAGCAGCAGTGCAAAAGAGAGGAGAGGAAATGGCAGGTTTGAGTTCCAGCTTTTCTTGATTTTTGCCTTTGGCTGACAATACAACTCTATCTCCATCTCGTTCATCTTTAAATTGGGTCTAAAAATTATCTGAAGTCATTACTTCAAAGTAAGTTTAAGAAGGTTAATATTTGTTTTCAACAAGGAACATATTACCAAAAATAGATTGTATTCACTGTCATGAATTATTTTCAACAGTGTTTTGG